AATATGAAGAGCAGCTTCTGGTTCTCCCATGCAAAGGTTTAAAATGGCTATACTTTCATTTGCATTTTATCAAATTTATTTTGAACATTTACATTGAACATTTTGAATGTATTTATTTTGTGACCACAATTTTATTTATTGAATTGTCTATTTTTGTTATTGTTTATGTTTAAAAATGTATTTTTGTGTTGATAAGCCTGAGTGGTCTGTTGACTGACCATATTATTTGTTCAAATAATTGTTATGGGCAGGTTACAATATAAAAAAATGTTTGTCGTATTCATGTCTTGTGATTATTTGACAGGAGTTTTACTTGTAAACTGTAAGTAAATTTTATTTAGTTATAATGCAAATACAATACAAATTCAACCAAGATTTAGAATAATTACCATTTTAAACCAATATTTAGAATAATTATCTTTTTTATCTGTACATTGGTAATGTCTGACTGGGGCTTGTGTCACCTTATGTTCAACAAATTGGGCCCTGAGGTCAAAAAGGTTGAGAACCCCTGCTTTACATCATTAAAAGAACAATAAATACTTTATTTTGTCATGATAAATTTTTATTCCTCATAACAATATTCCCTAATTCATAGTGTTCGTTTATTTTGTGTTTTGTTAATTTTATTGTTGTTCATCATTAATTCTGTTTTAATTAAAATTAATTTTGGAAGAAATCTTAAGACAATTCGTAATTCACTCTTCTTATCGCTTGATAAATATTACAAGAGCTCCCTGTAATGACAGATTTTGCTTTAGCTGTTAATTTCTGACAACAATATGGGTGAATTAAATAAACAACTGACTGAAAGCCTATAACATATAGTCAGTCTGTTAACAGGCCTGGTGCCCCTGCTTTAATGAGAGATTAAATATGTTTATAGTTTATAGTTATCCTGATCAAATTAAACTCTCTATCAGAGGCAGCCTGATGATTGACAACTGCTATGTGAAGATCTTCCCTAATTTGTTTATTTCTTATTTTTTTAGTGATAATCAGCTCCTGCAGCTCCTTTATCTGGAATGCATCCTCTCCATGCTCAGCAGCTGTCCTCCCACAATGCACCTGTCCAGAGGGTTCACCGACCTTGTGTGGTACATTTCTATGCATTTCCTCACAAGTGTTTGTGCAAAATTAGAAAGAAAATATCAATGTACTGCTCCTCTCACTGACATGGGTGGTGTTTTTCTGTTACCAAAATACTGTCTTATTGAATAACTGAATAGCTTTTAATGAAACTCTCAGAATGTAAATTATTGAAAACATAACAACAACTGACTTAACTTTTAAAGTCAACCTGATTCAAGATGGACGCCAAATCGCCTTGACATTTTCAAACCATAACTCTCTATTTTACAGATATTGAACTGAAACTTGATGTGTGAATGGAACAAAAAAAAATAAATAATAAATTCCCCCTCTAGTTTTATGTATTTTACATTCTGTTCTTTCCAGGAAACAGCTGTGTCCCTCTCTGGTGGTGATCATGGGAAATCCAGTCAATGATAAAACCATTACTTCACACTATAGCTACACGGGGGCACCAGACCGAGATCGGATGTCAGAGAGACTCAATCAAGGTAACCAGGCTCACTGGAGCTTTTAATAGAATATATGAAATATCCCACTGTTGCTGTCATCAGTCTTAAAGGGATAGTCCAGTCATTTTTTTTGATGTTCAGTCAATTAGTTATTAATATTTAGTACCTAATCAGCTATATTTCGTATAGTGTCACTTGTGCTAAGGCTACTAAACATTTTAAAATGCCTGATGAGCACATGTTGCCAATCCAATTTTCTGAAATCCTAACGTACTGATATATTCAACAATGTATAGATCAGAGGAGCCCAAAGTGGGGCCCGCGGGCCAAATTTGGCCCGCCAAGCCATTTGATTTGGCCCACCAACAGTTGCCAAAGTTACAAGGTTGTAAGCTGTTATCCTATAGGTAGAAACATAGTGTTTCCATTGGTCAAATGACTATAAAAGGGCTGTAGTGAAGGTAGTTTTCAGTCATGGKGCTGACATATCTTTGATTTATTAGGATTAAACATGAAACGACAACAAGAAATATTTTGTTCAGATTTAACCCTGCATGTAGATTTGCACACTTTATAAGGCCACAAAAACTCATATTTTATCAATTTATAAAATGTCCCATGAGCCTTTGCTACTTGAGAGTATGACAGACTTTCTCCAAGTGCACAGACTAAAACAAAAGAGGGCCATTGCACAGCTTAATCGTCAAAAATAAAGGACTTTACTTTAAAAAGTATTTGTATTTCATGTATTATATAACTGCATTTGGCCCGCAGCCATGGATAGATTTTCATTTTGGCCCCCTCGGGGAAAATGTTTGGGCACCCCTGGTATACATGTTTAATGTAATGCTGTTAATGCTGTTGTTGCATTCTTTCCTCAGTTTTATAAACCTAAAATATAGATAAAATGGTCCCCATTTGGCTAGCAATTAGCTTAGCGTTAATGAAGACTTCTGCCTTTTTCTTCATACTTTGTGCTCTTTGATTGATGTTGTGGGTGATATGGCACTAACTAATGATAATATATGACAGAACACAACTCAAAGCAACCCAACTAAGCCTAAAAACGGTACCTGAAAAAGTTTCTGTTGGTCTGAACCTTGTATCTGGGTTTAAACGCAAGAGTATTGTTATTTTATTAATTTCAATTTAATGGTTCAGCTTTGTTCTTCTTCTTGCTTTTCTCTCTCAGGACTCAACCCGGAGGTGGACTCTTCCAGTGGAGGTGTGTCGGACCAGGGCAGAGGGTCCGGCTGCTCCTCCAGTGCCCCTGCTAGGATCGCGCCCATCGTTCGGACGGTTTGTTACATCGCAGCAGAACTGGTGCGCCTGGTGAGCTGTGTGGAGTCGATGAAACCAGTGCTGCAGTCGCTGTACCACAGAATCCTGCTGTACCCGCCCCCTCAGCACCGAACCGAGGCCATCCGCATCATGAAGGAGGTGGTTTTCTGTGGATCATTCTGCAACTTTTCTATGTTTACCGAATTTAAATTAGGATCAAAATGATATTTAAAGGAACATGACTATAAATGTTTAGAGAAAGAGAACAAAATGATGAGAAATAAATGTGAATATTTTTTTTCCCCGTGTTAGATTTTAGGCAGTCCTCAGCGGCTCTACGATCTGGCTGGACCTTGTGTGGCTGAACCTGAAACCAGGAAGCGCTCCTTCTCAAAGAGGAAGTCCCACCTGGACTTACTGAAACTGTCAGTTGATTTTTTTAATATAATTAATTATATATTTTTATTTTTCTCATCAAATCAAACAGTTCTGCTTTACGCTTCAGTGTTTGTGTTTTCTTGCTGTGGCAGGGTGATGGATGGGATGACAGAGGCTTGTATGAAGGGAGGCATCGATGCGTGTTACTCCTCTGTTTCTTGTGCCTGTGCTCTTCTCGGTGCGCTGGATGAACTGTCGCAGGGTCGCGGACTCCAGCCTGAGCAGGTACACTGTTAATATGAAGCCAAAACCAGTGGACTGAGTGGCTTCATCCGTGATGAACCACAGAAATAGCAATAACCACGTGTGTTTCCTCCTGCAGGCTCGGCTTCTCCTCAGAAGACTAGATGACCTGAAGGAGGGATCAGAGTCCACTCGTGAGTCCATGGAGATTAATGAGGCTGATTTCCGGTGGCAGAGACATATCCTGTCCTCAGAGCAGCCCCCGTGGGACCCCAGCTCTTCCTCCTCCAACATGGCCACTGAGCGCAGCCCTGATATCAGCATCAGCATCACCACAGAAACAGGCCAAACCACCTTAGACTTGGAGATGGGGGACCTCGGCCTGGGTCATGGCCACAACACTCCTGAGGAGTGTGGAGAGGACGCTCGGTTCACGTCCCCTTCTGTCTTTGGAGGACAGGAGGGAGCCAATCGTGAGACGAGCCTTGGGCCCAAACCTGAAGCTGAGAGGGAGGAGGGAAGAGGTGGTCCAAGGGAGGTTGTTGGTCAGGAAGCAAAAGGACGAAGCAGTGGAGACCGAGGAGGCGTTCCTCCTGATGTGGTTCAGAGGAGTCATGCGCTCGTCTACCCGGACATCACCAACTTCCTGTCAGTGGATCCCAGGACCAGGTCGCACCACGGAGGCTCACGGTACAGCGAGAGCAATTTCAGGTAGAGCTGCTCGTACCTGACCTTAAATTAGGGGCCAATATTCACTCAGTACTGTGTTTTCTTCACAATTTTAGATTTACATCTTTTCCATTGTTTTTGTAAACAACCATACAAAACTACACCAGAAGCTGATTGATCAGGAATAGTCTGTTTTGACTGTTGGCAGAGGTACGTCTATAGAGGAGATTAAATTTGCAAAAAATAATAATAAATCTTTCAAAAAACACAGCTCTCCTTGTATGTCTCTGTCTAAGCTTAGATTTTCACAAAAGTAAATTTCTGAAATACTGTTGAGCTTTTTAGAAGAAAGTTGACGTTTGTTAGAATTTTTTAGCTACATCAGCATTTCTTCAGAAATGTTTCAGCTGCTTTTAATGATTGGTTCTTTTTATTAGAAGCTTAGAATAAGTCACTAACACAGTTAAGTAGCAATTAAAAAAATAATTTTATGAAAAAGATTAAACTGTTGCTGTACCCAGGGGTGCTTCATAAATTACTTTGCAATGCAATATTTAAATTTTAGCCGCAGGAGGAACTCATGAGGGTTGCTGAATGTTGGCTTATCTATTTAAGCTGATCAAATAGAATTGAAATTAATTGGGAATTAGGCCCCATTTGTACTTTGAAACTTTGATGTATAAAAGAAATAATAAAATATATATTTTCCTGCCTTATTTACATTTTTATTTGCTGTCCAGCAGCATGGAGGACCAGGAATTTTCTCGGACGGAGTTTGACTCATGTGATCAGTACTCCATGGCTGCGGAGAAAGACTCCGGACGTTCCGACGTGTCTGACATCGGCTCTGACAACGTCTCTCTTGTTGACGAGGAGCAGCAGACTCCTCGCGACTGCCCGGGCCACCGCTCCCTGCGCACCGCCGCCCTGTCCCTCAAACTGCTCCGCAACCAGGAGGCCGACCAGCAGAGCGCCAGGCTGTTTGTTCAGTCGCTGGCTGCGCTGCTGCCCCGGCTGCTGGGGCTGGCCACGGCCTCTGAGGTGGACCTGTCACTGCAGAACTTCTCCTCCACGTTTTGCTCTGGACTGCAGACTGGTAAGAGAATGGAGGGTTGGGTTCAGAACAGAATTAAGTTGTGGATGATGTCTTCATTTTACTTCATTTTAAGAAGAACTGTCTTGATATTTAAACTAAACAAAGGTGCTGAGTGAGGATCAGACTGGTTTTTAAAGAAAACAAACTATTATTATTGGATATTACTGGAAAATATATAATATTAAATATATATATATAAATACTTTAAAAAGCTGTTAAATTTGTTATATGGAAAAGCATTTTCTTGTTAGGATCATGGGTCAGACTCTGTAGCTTTGATCAAAGTTAACATAAAAATGAACATTTATATTTAAAGCAACAATTTAAAAAAAGCTAATTGTAGTAGTTATCCATGTTTCTGCAAAATGTGAACACAATTCCTGTAACAGAATGATATTAAAATGAGAAAACACATGAACCAGCAGGTTGTTAGCCATTTTACCGCCTTAATAATTTAGTTTCCAGCCATGCAATCTAGACATTCTTTAAAATCTCTAAAAATTTAAACATTTTTAACACGTCAACAAAATGTTGCTTAGGGGAAAAAGTACAAAGTATAGTTTTGCAAATCAAGAGACTTTCAACATAAGTTGAAACAAGCTGAAAACAAAAGTAATTAAAATAAGTTAAAAGAAAGAAAGTAATGAGTTTGTCATTGCTTTAAAATTTTGGTTCAGAATTTTTTTTTACAAAACAAATTAAACTAGGTTGACCAAAAAATGGTACAACATACACTATATTGCTAAAACTATTTGCTCACCCTTTCAAATGACTGTGCACCAGTGCACAAAGCAAGGTCCATAAAGACATGGATAACAAAGTCTGGTGTTGATGACCTTAACTGGTCTACACAGACTCCTGACCTCAACCTGATAGAACACCTTTGGGATGAATTAGAGCAGAGACTGAGAGCCAGGCCTTCTGTCCAACATCAGTATGTGACCTCACAAATGAGCTTCTGGAAGAATGGTCAAAAATCCCCATAAATATTGATCAATACCTAAACCTTGTGGACGGCCTTTCCAGAAGAGTTGAAGCTGTTGTAGCTGCAAAGGGTGGAACAACATCATATTGAATCCTATGGATTAGGAATGGGATGTACCTTAAGCTCATGTCAGTCAAGGCAGGTGAGACAATACTTTTGGCAATATAGTGTATTGAAAATAATTTGACCTCAGGAACATGTTGAATTGTGTGTTCGGTAAGTCAGACAGTAGCCACCATCCTTGGACATGTCCTCATGAAGAATATTGATTTGATTTGATTTGATTTATTGATTTAACAGGAAAAGATTATTAAAATCAAGCCTGACTCAGCATAATTGCTGTTTTACAGCAGGTTCCTGTTCTGCAGCACATAAAACACTCAGAAATACAGCATCACAATCACATCATTATACACCATAGACACAAAGACAAACAAGCATACCAAATTTCAGGAAGGCAGCATTTGCAAAATAGGACGTCTAAATATGAGCACAACAAAAAGTGTCCAGCAGATGGCAGACAAGATTCTTCTTAAAGGCTGTGGTTTTGAAATGGACTTTATGTTTTGAGGAATGTCATTCCATGCTTCAGTATAAACATAAAAGAAAGACCTCTGGCCGTAACAATTTTTAAAAGTTGGTAATATCAGTTGTCCTTTTGTAACAGATCTAGTTGAATGACCACTTCCAGAATTTGATTTGGGCAGCAATGCACAGAGAGTTCCATAATTGGCAACTTGGAAGATCTGAAAATATAAATTAATACCACTATACAAAACATAATTCTGAAAAATCAAGGCATCAGACAGTGAAGGAACTGTACAGTGATGAGTCCAACCAGGAAGTATTTTTATGAATTTTGTAGGCCCTGTTGTACAGCCTAACTATGGGTTCTAAGATTTCATTTGTTGTAAGAGACCAAACAGGTCAACAGTACGACATGATTGAGAGTATAATGGCATGAAGATAGATATTTGAAACAGAAGATGTCAGATTGGATCTAATTTTTGAATAAACATATAATTTCTGTTTCAACTTAGTGGTTAAGACTTGTACATGATCACGATAAGTCAAATGAGAATCCAAAGTAATTCCAAGATATTTGTAGGTAGTGACAATATCAAGGGGTTTGTTTAAAAAAGTGAGTTGATTTGTTATATTGAAATGTCTCCTGGGTGAGGAAAAATACATGCACACAGTTTTTTTAAACATTAATTGACAAAAGGTTATCTTGAAGCCAACCATAAAATGTCTGAAGATCTGCTTGTAACTGACTATTAATAGATTCAATATTGAAATCAGACAAAAAAAGAACAGTATCATCAGCATACATTAAAATATTTGAATACTTCAATATTTTTGGAAGGTCATTTACTGTATGTATAATAGGAAAAGCAATGGGCCCAGTATGCTACTCTGCGGAACTCCCACAGAACAGGGCAGAGACCCGGACACAGAGCTTCCATGTTTCACAACCTGACACCTATCAGTCAAATAAGAGGAAAACATTTGTAYTGCAGATGATGAAAGTTGAAACGAAATCAACTTTTGTAAGAGAGTATAATGATCAACTGTGTCAAACGCTTCACAAAAATCAATATATACAGCACCAGTTACTTGACCTTTGTTCAAAGCAGCACATATTTGTTTGTTGTTTGTATTAATGCCAAGTTGAGGAGTTGCATAATCCTAATGTTAAGATCAATGTGGACTTCATGGAAAGATGAACAAGAAGGACTCCAAATATTAAAAAAAGCTGTAATGGAATTTGTCAAATCATATTGACAAGACACAACATTATGTTCTGGTGCTTATTTTTATATATCTGACACAGGGTGTCCTGAGTGCAAAGCACAAGAAAATCTCAAGACTGTCAACATTTTCTGGAGCAAATGTGCTTAAATAGCTTGGTCTGAGTCACAGGTCAGTGGTCCTTCAACAGGATGATAGTTGAAAACACATAGTTGCTAAAAACATCTAATGTCTATCAATAAAATGTTGGACTATTCAAAGTTGCCCTCTGAGCCTTAATCTAAATCTATTGAACATCAACAATGTCAACATATTTATAGTATTTATAGCAGTAGAGAGGCCAGGCTCCACAGAACCATGGAAGTACACCTGTACAGGGAGCTGGACTTGGGGTGAAACCCTCTGCCCTGTGAGGAGCTTTTGTGTCTTGATGTCAGTAACTTCTATCTCCTCTCTTTAGCTGTAAATAGATAGCTCCTACTTTTAAATCTTCTCAAGAACTTCCTTTAATCTTTGACCTGTGTAATTCAAGTCATAGTCATTTACTTTCAGGATTGAAGGACCTAACCATGTTTTGGACACATGCTGTATTATCTTCCATTATTCAGGGACCATTTAACACAACATTCTACCTTCAAAACACATTTGATCCTTCGGTGCAAACACAAAGCCTGCTGGGAGTTTTTTTACTTCATCTGCACAGAATTATAAATGAAAAACTCTCCAGTTCACTGACTTAATAGATTTAGCTGCAAGTTTGAATCCTTAGGGAGTATTTTTGATTAAAACACTTGACTCATCAGCAGAGACCAGATGGCTTTACTGATTTCCTTTTTTTCTACTTTGTCTCTTTTGTCTCCTCTCTTTCAATATTCTTATTCCTGTTATTGCCTCCATCATCCTTAGACTTTTCTCTCATCCCTGACCTATTTTAAATTGCCTCCTTCCCTGTTGCTAAAGCCAAAGTTGGAGTAGGGATGTTTTCACATGTGTGTGTGTGTGTGTTGTTTGTACCAGTAGCAAAATGTTTCATGAATCACTAAAAGCATTTTTATGAAATGTTCAGAACTTAATCATTGGGTGTACATCTGCAGTTCATTACCTTTCAGAGTCTATCCATTTCAAGAGGGCTACCATAGCAAAGCTGTCTTAGCAAACACAAAAATGGTTGTAACTCAGTTAATTCTACAGATATTAAACTGTGTTGCTGAGACTAAACCTACATTTACACATTGAGCACTAACGGATTGTACAAGATCTGTGTTCAAAACATTGCTACTAATTAATGGAATCAGTTCTGTTGTGTTTGCAAAATATCTCTTGAATCACTGACAGATTTGAATGAAACACTCAAAAAATAATCATTGGATGTATGAATGTACAACTGATAAAGTTTTTGACTTAACCCAATTCAATATGGTGTCTTCAGCCAACTGACTTTAGCATACCGTGTTTGTGTCTTTCTGTTGAACCACTAAATGGATTTCAACAAAACTCTCAGAAAATACTTGTACTTAAGTACTTAACTAATTTATTATTATTATCATTATTTTGGTGTCAACTCAATTCAAGATGGCCACCACAGCTAATGAACCATAACAACACAAAATTTTTGTATCTCAGTGAATTTTACAATCTCTGAGCTAAAGTTTGCTGTGACTGTACAGCCCCAGGTCCACTGAAGTTGTGACATTGTGTAAAACATAAATAAAAATCTTTGGCCCAAAGACACCATGTCCGTGATTTCCAAAAAAAAAAAAAAAAAAAAAACTATTTGTAATAGGGACTTGTCAGACCACAGGACACTTTGTGTCAGTCCATCTCAGATGAGCCTTGCAATTGAAAAATGTTGTTCTGAAACTGTTAGACTATTTGCTCAGGCAGTTGTTCACAAAGTGGTGAACCTCACCCAATCCTTACTTGTGAACGACTGAGCCTTTCTGGGATGCTACCTTCATATCCCATCATGACACTCATCTGTTTCCAGTTAACCTGTTTACCTGTGGAATGCTCCAAACAGGTGTTTTTTTTAGTATTTTCTTAAAGACACATTGTGTAAGATTTTGTCTATTCTTTTAGCTGAAATTGAGATAATCACTAATGACAATAATAAAAAAAACATGTCTAGTCATTGCAGACAAAGACCTTGTTTTATTATTTTTACCTTACAAAAAGCTGTTTATATCTCCATGGTCATGGGTCGCCACTACAGGCAGCCGCCATCTTGTCTACGAAGGCTCATGAAGGACAAACTGCGGTGGCGGCGTCAAAAACGGTTTTAGTTGTAATACTATAAATGTAATATTTGTTGCCTGTCATTGTAGCTGGGATAATTTTACTTATKAAAGCTCATAATCTTACCACTTGAAACATCACTAGCCCTGAAGCTGCTGGTAGACATCGCGGTTGGAATTATCAAAGGTTTTTGACACCGAGAGACACCGTAGAGTGGGGGTGGGGGGAGGACCAGGGAGGATGATTCAACCTTTCAACCACTAGATGTAGCTGAAAACAACAAATCCTACACACTGTGCTTTCCCAGTCTTTTGTTGACCCTGTCTCAGCTTATTTGGAACTTGTTGTAGCATCAAATTCAAAATGAGTGAATATTTGCAAAAACAATAAAGTTTATCTGTTTGAACATTAAATATTTTGTCTTTGTTGTGTATTCAATTGAATACAGGTTGAAAAGGATTTGCAAATTGTTGTTTTCTGTTTTTATTTATGTTTTACACCATGTCCCAACTCCATTGGAATTGGGGTTATGGGTGAAACGCATTGACACGTTTTTCAAGGTCTAATAGGTAATGCCAGATCAAGCAAGATGTTGCAATATCACATTTTATTTATTGTTTACTGTTATTTAATTATTTATTGCATGAAATTTTACTTTTCAAGGTTTAACCAAAGTACTCCTCTGTTATTTCTCAACATGGGGTGATTAGTCTAAAACTCTTGCAAGAAAGACAAAATGCAAAATGTCTTCCTCCAAGGAATGCTAGCCCTTCTAAATACAAATTTAAATTTTTACAAGTTTAAAAGTACTTTTTTAGACATAGTTAAATCTGAAGAGTTGTTTGTATTTACAGATTTGTTTGTTTTCTCAGGTGGGATTCACTCTCCAGGTTTTGAAGGAGGTGACAGTCTGAGCTGCCAGTCTTTGATGAATGCAGATGGTCTGTACCTGGTGTCGTACTACGCTCTGCTGCTCAATCTGAAACTCTGCTGCTGCGACTATTACAGGTGCCGAGAGCTTCCACTCATCCTCAATCTGGTGAGCAGAGCTTCAGGAAGCAAATCAAACCTTTCTGAAGTCTGAACACAACTGAACGTTGCCGTTTGCTTTCTGCAGAAGGAGTTTGTGCATCTGATCCAAAGCAGCGGAGTCCTTGTGGTTTTGTCCCAGGCCTGGATTGAGGAGCTTTACAACCAGGTTTTAGAGCACAACCTGCTGGCTGAGGCCGGATACTGGGGCTCACCAAAGGACCACTCACTGCCACTTATCACCATGCTTACAGGTGAGGGTGCACTTTACTTATAGTACATAGTACCTTTAAAACAGAAATTAAACCTAATATCTGTCATAAAGCAAATTATAAGCAGCCAATACTGATTAAACATTCATTCCCTAAACTCAAATAGAGCTGACTCCAGAAACATATAAAAGCTTGAGGTCAGTCAAATGTTTCCTTCATATGTTCACTTTGTACCTGTGTCTTAAGTATAAAAAGAAACAGTTTTCTCCTAGATTCTTCGTACCTCCACATGCTTTGTACCCAGTTTGGCACAGTTTAGTATTCACCTTGGTATCTGGCCCAACATGGATGCGTTTTGTGACTGTGTATGGATGCAAACTGGTAACTCATTCTGTGCTGTACTGGTATGAAACGTTTTACTAAACAGCAAATGCTGGGTGCAAGGTGGAGCCACAATTTGGTTTTAGTTCTGGAAACTTTGGGAACAACTGGTTGGTATGAACTCTGCAGAGTGTTTCAGTAGGCTCGTAAAGTAAAATGAGTTCTTCTAACTGCAGTGGGATGCTCAGGATTTATATATTGCAAGTAGTATTTTGAAATGTATTTAGAAATGTGTAGAAAAGCTGTGAGTAGAAGCCAACATGGGAAAAGTCTGATCTCTTGGCAGCACTGTGCATCATTGTTCTGTCCTTAGTGTTCTGTTGGATGTTTTAAAGGTACCTGGAAGCCTCAGATGGTGTTAGAATAGTGAAGCCAAATGATATTACAGAAAATAAACTAAGGTGACTTTAAAACTTGTTTTATACTCTGATTAAGAACTAGTCAATTTACCTCTGATGTTCATAGTAGCACTAGATGTAAAAACAATGCATTAAAAATGTATCATTTTGATTGGATTAGGTTCCTTAGGTTACAGCTTATCCAGGTCTTTATGTCAAATGTTCTTCATGCTTCAGAGACATGTCTTTAACTTCAGTTTCTCACTAGTTACATCTGGTTTAATTGAAACAAGTTTGGGTGTCATCAGCATAACAATGAAGCTTTTCATTTATTTGCATTATTTTGGTCAAAAGATGTTTAAAACATTGGCATGTCTGACTGGTTTTTGTAAGACTTAAGCCATATTTGTTCTTAAAAAAACACTTTTTGCAAAAAAGGTTTTCCTCCAAGGGCGTAACTTTCTGAAGGACTGGTGTGGACATGTCCCCACCAACTTTGGCCGAACAGGGACAGTCCCCACCAATATTTGCACATCTTTTTTTCATTTGCGTGCATCTACATTTCCGGAAAGTAGGCAGCAACAACTGCTGTGTCTACCTTTTTCGGGGAAAATTTTTTTTTTAAAAAGTATGCTGTGCCCGATCCCTTCCGCCCCCTCCCCGCTCCTGCTTCTCATCTCTCTCATGTCACACTGCAGAAGCTGCTGGGAGCTTGCTACACCTTCCCCTTCACCCCCTCCCTTCCTTTTCTCTGAAGTGCGAGGACACACACTCGCGCGCGCAGACACACGCATGCACACACACACACACACACACACTCGCGCGCAGACACACATGTGCGCTGCCGTGCGGTGGGGGGCGTGCTAGCTGCCTGCTGTAAAACAATGTGGTGGTCAGACCTTCAGAGCTACTGGAGCAGGTAATGGTCTGATAACGTCCAGCTCTTGGAAAAACTTTATTCTTTACAAAGAACCAAAAAAATAAGTCAAAATGTAGGACAGGACAGTTATTTTTCTTATGAAAAGTTAACTTGCTGCTAGTTATCTATCTGCTAGTGTTAGCAATCACTTAGTGATGACATTCTCTATTATTGAGTTTTTTTTAAATCACTTAAACTGTATTTTAATGCCAAGATTGAGCTCAGGTCCGCTCTGATAATTATTGATTCCTGTTATAATTTACATTCATAAGTCACAGATTATTTCTCTAATTAAATATACTAGCTTCATAATTTACACATAATTTACTTGACCTTTTAAAGCTGACTGAATTCAGGTGGCAGTAAAACTGTAATACTAATTTATCTGTTTATGTAGGAGCTGAATACAGAGAGTCAGAGGCAGCAGGCAGAACAGAGTATCTCAGGTAGGACAGAGGGTCTCAGGTAGGACAGAGGGTCTCAGGTAGGACAGAGGGTCTCAGGTAGGACAGAGGGTCTCAGGTAGG